TACCTCATACACACCACTAGTACCATACACAACCCAGTAATACGCCACAACACATGAATAACCCACATAACCCACAAATTTTACACACCCCTTTAATACCATACACTCTGTTAATTACACATACCCCATTGATACCCCACACCCCATTAATATCCCACACGAAATTAAAAGCCCACACCCCATTAATGCGTCCCTATCCAATAATACCCAGGAGCGCAATAATACCGCACACCTCATTGATACCACATCCCATTAATAACCCACGCATCCTTAGTACCACACGCCCGACTAAAACCTAACAACACATTAATAACCCACACCCCATTAATACACCACAAACTCATTAATATCTCACATCTCAGTAATACTCCACAACCCCATTGGTCTCCTAAAACCCATTAATATCCCACACCTCATTAACACTGCACAATCCATGAATACATCATACAATTAATTATTAACCACCCCACACACACCAATAATACCGCGCACAACCAATTAATAAATGACACATCCCATTAGTACCACATATCCCATTAATAAAACAGACTCCATTAATAACCCATACCCCATTAGTAACGCATTCCATACTAGTACAACATACAATATTGATACCACACAAACCATTAACACCACATACACTTAATACTCCACAGATCCCATTAAATGCCCCATTAAAGTCGCAAACAACACATTAATACCACACCCCCAATAATTACAACAAACAACGTTACTACCACAAATCCATAAATACCACACAACCCATTGACACCACACACCCCACTAATTCATCACACACACTATTAGGACTACCACAAACCTAAGTAATACCAAACGCAGCATACGATTGCTCCACACATCCTATTAATGTCCCCAAATTAACACCACACAGCCCATTGATACCGCACACACACCACCAATACCCAACATACCCATTAATACCAAACACCCCATTGAATCACACACGACATTAATTCAACTGACCCCATCAATACCATGCACCTCAATTCCATGCAACCCATTAATACCACACCGAATTCATACCCCACATTCCATTAATACCCCACAACCCATTAATAACCCAACCACATTCATAATTCACAAACCAATAATAGCATGTACACCGCATTGAATTCCACCATATCCCATTATTACCCCACACACAACATTAATATCCCAACGAACGCAACAATAACAAATACCTCATTCACGCAACATACCATATTAATAACACACTCCCCATTAATTCCACAAACCCCATTAATACAAATCACACCGCATTAATACCTCAAACACTATGAATGCCACACAGCCCATTAATATCCTCAACCCATTTGTACTGTACATTAGAATAATACCATCATACAAACCACTGATACACCACATAACCTAGTAATACCTTACAACAAATGAATATCCCACACATTCCAATAATTCCATACTCCCCTTTAATATGACGCACCCCATATACCACACACAATTATTACCACATTCTCCATTTATACCACATTCGCAATTGATAACACACACCACATTAATACACGACACATCCTATTAATACCACACATGTCATTAATATCTCTCTCACACGAATATTACTGCACACCCCGTTAATAGCATACCCCGTTATTAACCCATACCACATTGATACCCCACATGCCATTGATATTCCTCACACAACGAATTCACCACACCCAGTTAATATGCCACTCAGTCCGATAATAGCCAACAAACCCTATTAATAACCCACAACTATTTAATACAGCATATAAAATTAATACGCCACACTCCCCGTTAATATCCACACTCCATTAATACGGCAAAACCCATTAATACATCATGCACTCTATTAAAATCCCACACTCCCAATTAATATCCCAAGTACCCCATTAGTACTCCACAACCCAATAATACCCCTCATAACTTTAATAGTCCACACCTCATTACTAACCCACAACACATTATTATGATGCTCCCCATAAACCCCATGAATACCCTAGCAATACTACACACGCCGCATTATTACACCGCACAAGCCGTTAATACCGCACACCCCATTAAAACCACACGCCTCAGTAGTACAACAAACTCCATTAATACCACACACTACATTAATACATCATGCCCCCATTAATAAATCACATGCCCTACTACTACGCCACAAAACACATTAATGCCACACACATCATTAAAAGCACACACCGCATTATTTCCACAAACCCCATAATACCGCACATCCTATCAATAATGCGCACTGCGTTCATACTCCATAAATACTCCAAAACCCATTCATGCCATATGCACCGCATTAATGGTACCGACACCCCATTAATGTCACAAACACCGCAGTAATATACCACATATCCTGTTGATACCCGACACAGCATTCATTTCCCAAACCTATTTACAACGCACAACTCATTAATGCCTCATACACTCCACTAATGACAGGCATAGCCCATTAATATGCCCTAACTCATTAATACACCGCAGACCCACACCACTTTTAATAACCCACAGCCCGTTATTACCCATAACCTCATTAATACTCTACAGCACATCAATTCTCCACACCCCATTAATACGCCTTACACCAATAACACTTCACAACCCATTAATACCATGTCAAACCTGTTAGTTTCCCACACACCGCATTAATACCCCACAACCCCCATTAGTACAGAAATCAACCCATTTTTACCTCTCACCTCATTAATACCCAACACAACAGCATTGATAACCCATCACATTCTATTTATAACCAATGCGGCCCATTATTATCCCACACACTCCATTAGTAACCCACACAACCCAGTTCTATGACAAACCTCATTAATAACCCACAACCTTTAATAAACACACACAATTGATAACTTACACACCCAATTAATACCACACACACATGTAATACACCACAATTCATTAATATCCCTCACCCCATTGATAATCAACACAGTATTAATACCTCATATCCCAGTAACACCCCAAAAGTAAACACACATGCCAATGATACACCAAAAACTCCATTAAAATCCCATTAATGCCGCACATTCCATTAATGCCACACAACCCATTGATACAGCACTCCCAATTGATACCACATGCCACATTAATACCCAACAACCCTTTAATACCGCAAAGCCCACTGAAACACCAATCTCCATTAATACCCCAAACCCCATTGTTACCCTCCATCGCATTGGTATCCAACACCGCTTTAGTAACCCTCACCCCATGAATACCTACACAACCAAATAATTCCCCCACCAAGGTAATACCTCAGAGCCCAATAATAGCCCACATAGCTCATTAGTATCCCACACCACTTTAATATCACACACCCAGTGTACACACCACACCCTAATAATAACCCACACACCATTATTAACCCATTTATACTCCATCACATAAATATGCCATTAATAACCAATAAATAACCATTAATATACCAATGACACTCATTAACACATTTAACACACCAGTAATTCCACAAATTCCATTACTATCCAACAAACCAAAGGAATACCCCACACAAGGCATTAATACCAAGATCAATCGATTAATACCCATCACCACATTGATACCCTATTACATCGCATTAAAAGAATATGTAGCCCTTTAATGATCCCACACACTTCATTGGTACCCCACACCACCCAGTAATATGCCAAACCCCATTAAATACCAATACCCGACTGATACCCCAATACCTCATTGATACCCAACACGTCCCATTGATACCTAACACATATTTACTACCGCACGCACATGTAATACACACACCGCATTAATACCCCTCACTCCATTCATAGCCACAACCCAGTAGTACCCCATGAACCATAATAGTACATATCACAAACACACTAATACCCTATTAGCACTATACATTATATCAACACCACACAACTCATTGATACAACCTTCCCCCTCTGGCTCCACGCTGGACAGCGTCTCAATACGCTGCACAGTAATGGATCCCGGGGCCCAGCCAGGGAGAAGGAGAGGAAGGTGACCAAAGGCGCGGTTGATAAGAAAGGTCTTCAGTAGAGACCTGAAAATAGGAAGAGAGGGGACGAGGCGAAGGGAGTGAAGAAGGGAATGCCAGAGCCTCGGGGATATTGGCTGAATGCACGGCTTCGGAGGGTGGAGCGGAGGACTAGGACGGCGAACAGGCAAGAACCGGAGGAGCGAAAGCAACGGGTACTGTGGTGAAGACAGAGGAGGTCAGAGAGTTCGGGGGGTGCAGAGGAGTGGAGAGATTTGATGACAAGTGTGAGGATCTTGAAGTCGATCGTCTTTGGGACAGGCAGCCAGTGCAGTCTGTCGAGGATTGGAGTAATCGGAGTTTGGGTAACAATTGGTGTGGCAGATTTTTCTACGACCTGAATGTTATGGACGGTTGTGGAGGGGAGACCGATGAGGAGCGCATTTGAATAGTTCAGCCGAGAGCTGGAAAAAGGCATCGACCCGGATTTCAGCAGTTTTTGGAGTGAGGCATTGGACGCCAAACACCCAATTAATTCCACACACCCCATTAATACCACACTCCACGTTAATACCAAGCACCCAGTAATGCCACACTTATTGGATATTCACGTGAGGTAGCGTTCTGCAACGCGTGGCATTGGTCGAGGCCCAAGGGAGTGCTTCTTGACTTAAGCTCAATCATAAAAGAGCGATTTCAGCCGAGATTGGGCAGTGGGAGGGAATGAATTCCAGACTTTCGTAGTTCAAGGCACGGCCTCCAATGTTGGAGGAGACGAGAGATGATGAGAAGTCCGGCGTCAGCCGTGCATATGCAGTAAGTTTGGAGTGTGGCTTAAGCAAATTGGATCAGGAAGGAAGTACAGGAGCATGAACGGATTTGAAAAGTAGCGAGAGCAACTAGAAATCAATCCGTTCGGTAATTGAGAGCCATTGGAGACTGCAAAGAATTGCAGTGATGGGATACAGATTGTTGTGCCCTTGATATGAGCAGAATTTTCTTGTTTAACTCTCAGAAGTGAAACGATTCAAGTTTAGGATGGAAGACAGGAAGAGGAAGCCAGCGAGGATGAAAAGCGAGGAGGTAATTAGTTAAACACTAAATGCGTTTGACATTGATTTCCAGCACGGAAACGAGGACATTCGGCCCAGATATTCTATGCCGATTTTCGCTCTCTCTCTTTTCTGCACTCTCAATCCACTCCTTACTCCCTCACTTCTATTCCCACTTTCCTTATGTGTCTATCTCAGTTCATCTAAAACACAGCTCATTTAGATCCCACAGTAACTGTTTGGTTTATGTCCCCGGTTAAGCCTTTCAGCCTACATCTGCTAACCTTATCGAACCATTTTATAATTATAGACTCTTCTATTAGTTTCCTTGTTGAACATCACTTCTTTAGTGAGGAAAGGACTAATGTATCGGATCAAACTGTCATGATATCATTAATCTGTCACACGGGGATCATGCAAGTGGATTAGCCTTTCTCTTCGGGAGGAGTGCTGCACTTGAAGAGTAAATGGGAAGTGAACAGGTGCATGGCATCTCCAATAATGAAGCTCACCCCCAGCACTACACTGGCAGTGTCAGTGTTATCCGACGTGTAGCTTGAAACACAGGCCAGAATGAGCGGACTGACAAACGCTTATAATGTTCTTACGTTCTGCATTTCAGAGCAAAAGGAAGACCTCACACATCCCGTCAGGATCAGCTGAGGATGGAGGTGACCACGCAAGAGACGTGATTGAAGGCAAAGGTTCAGCAAATGGAGAGGGGGTCTGGTCAAAAAAGGAGGCGTCTCACTTGGTGAAAACCAAGACCTGAAAACATCTAAACACGGTAATTTTTCTGCAAAAATCTGCACAGATATATTGAGCACAAAATGATTTGTCCCTTTTTTTTGCCACTGCTGACACTGTTTTCCTAATTCTGTCATTAATCACATTTTTCATTTCCAAGGAATGGAATCAGAAACTATCCTGAACCGGGTCCAACCAATGCATCTTTACTTTCTGCTGTTCACAGAATTCTCTAAGTTAGCAGTCCAAAGCAAACAAACTTATAAGGAAGTAATCATGCCTCAGTGATTAGGGTACCGTTAAAAGGCCTTGAAAATATTAAGCATCACAAATATAATCTTATAGAGATACATAATCCCAGCTGGTCAGGCCAAGACAGTAAGTGAGGTTTAATACTTCATATGAAGGATGGCACATGCAACAATGCAACAAATCCCCAGCATTAAATTAAAATTGTCTCACAGTGTCCTCGCCAGACGTCAACAGCACGGATCACTCGCCCTCTCAGCTAACGGCTGTTTGCAGGAAGCGGTTGCCGGCAAAAACTAACTCTGACATAAACTGACTTGCCTGAAGGGCTCTATATAAATGCAAGTTATTGTTGACCACAATAGTTAATAGTAATTACTGTGAAGCACTTTTGAGCCTTGGACTTGTTCAGGCACTATCCAAATGCTAATATTAATTCAGAATTGCTGAAGCAGCAATTCCTGAAGAAAACGCTCATATGTTGCTCACATAGGTCTTTGTTTTCTCCCATCAGCTCAAAATTGGATGGCACTGCGGGTCACCCTTTCCCTAATCGTAACGTTGTGATTTTTCATGCTGAGTTCTGTCAGAAACAGAGCAGAAGACATCGAGGGCACCATTGAGATACATCAGGCGCATGGTCTGCATGCAGCGTAAATTCTTCATCCCAGAAGAGTGTGTCAGCGATCTACCACATATAAGAACAAGAATTAGGAGCAGGAGTAGGCCATTCGGCCCCTCGAGCCTGCCCTGGCATTCGACAAGATCATGGCTGATCTTCAGCCCTAACTCTAATTATCTGTTCTATCCCCTAAACTCTCTATTTTTAAAAAAATCTTTCAGTCTCTGCCGTGAAGATCTTCACGTATTGTACTGTAGCAGAAAAGGGGTTTATGCAAACAGGAACGTCTCCAGCAATCGATCTTAGTAGAGTTATTGTACCAATGTACCGAATGCTAAAAGAATTTCACAACGTCAAACTGCACCAGCCATCACACCCAGGAGAGAGACCCTATAACAGTGCCGAATGTGGAAAGACATCCACACGTTTCGAGCTTCTACAGATACACCATCGAACGCACAGGAGAGAGACCGAATCACCGTGCTGACTGTGGTTGAGTTTCACACGTTCATGGCAGCTCCAGAGACACCATCGATCACACCCAGGAGCGAATGTATATGTTTCCCGATTGTGAAAAGTGTTTAATATCTTCAGAAGTCTCAAAGACAGCCATCACACAGAGACGAGAGAAAGAATAAAGTAACAACTTGTAAGCTGTACTTCCAAACATACTAAAGAGGGCCCGTGGGAGAGACTGTGTTAATGTCTTGAATGTGGGAAGAGATTTGCTGTTTCCAGCAGACGAAATTTCAGAAATGCCTTGAAAGACCGTTACTATCGGAAAGGTTTCCAGAAGACGCTGCTGTTCGCAGCCAACAAGAGAAGCTGCTGTGAGACAAACAAGAACATTACAATTGTGAGGAAGAGGATATATATCCACTAGATCCAACAGCGACTCATAGTTGACGCACAAGTACGGCAGTTGGTCCCCATTTCTCCTGACCATGTGCTGGAGCGCCACGATCTACTGAAGTACCTAACACACGTGGCTGTTGTGCCCATGTGAGCTATCACCAGGATGTGTGCCTCCTGCCGAATATAACAGAATGGCACGGTGAGAAATCAGAAGTGTGACCCCACTTAACTCGAGTTGCGACCTCCACCGTCACTGCTAACATCAAGACTCGAGCTTGGAGCCGACCGGTGTGACTAGAGTGAGCCGACACCAGAGTGGGATGGAATTGGGTAAGTGTGGGAATTACTTGTTTTAGCATCTGTGTATGTACTAACTGTTTTATTGCCTATATGTATGTGTACTAACATTAAACCGCTGATAGAATTGGTAAATTGGGTTTGTGGTTAGGGATAGCAGGAGCAGCTGTGGTCAGTGTACCAAACACAAATTCAATCCAATTAAAATTAACTTAACAATAACAAGTAGCAGTCCGCAGATTTCTGATATCACTTAAGTATAAATTGCTGCTAACATGAAGAAAAAATAACAAGTTGGGGTAAATAAAGGGGAGAACTGCGGGAGCCTCACGAGATTACACAGGTGTGAGCTGCCACTGAGGCGAAACCAGAGTGAGAAGGAATTGGGTGACGAGTGGGAATTAGGTACAGAAGTAGTTGCAGCGCTGGGCTTGTGGCCAAGGGGTTAAATATACATGGTGGATTTTTTTAAAAAAAACACACTTTGAAAGAAAAAATCCTAAAATACAGAGTGAGAGAGAGAATGGAGAGGACGGCCTAACCCGTGTTGTTCGAGGAAAGCAATAGGTGGGAGTTGATGGAGGACATTCTGAGCCCCGGCGACTTCACACGCAGCGAGTGTCTGCCACTGAGGAAGCTCCGGCTTCGAGTAGCTGAGCTGGAATCCAAGTTGCAGACACTGCGCCGCATCAGGGAGAACGAGAACTTCCCGGATAATATGTCGGAGAAAGCGATCACTCCTCTTAGGCTCAGTAAATGTATCGATCTTGTTTAGGTGGCGGGGATCCAGGAGTGAGGAGCTATGAACCGACCATTCCAAGTCTGCCGGCCAGGTAACCGGGATCCCTCGGAGGACGGTCCAAGGGTGTCTCAGACCTTTTGACCTTCAGCCTTCAGCTCCGCTCTCAATCTCTCCCCCCCCCCCCCCCCCCCCCCCCCTGACCTTCGCTCTGACCCACTGACAGCGCTTGGACGTTCCTGGTGAAGCCTCATAAATGGAACCTTGTTGTTGTTGTTGTCGAACAGTTATGAGGTACTTGTAACCTGTGTTGACATGGAAGCCCTGAAGCATAGTGGGAAAGCTGTTTGCAGGAGGTCAGCCTTGTGGGGGAAGCACAAAGAAATGCGGTTATGATAGGGGACATTTGTTGAAAAGGCTTTAAAATAGTAAAGAGATGGGGTGTTTTGATGGTAAAAATAACAACAATATAGGGCAAGTAGAGGACAAGAGTAACGATCAAGTTAACATGAACACTATCGGAAAATGATGGTAATAGGAAGTTAGTACACAATGTGTAGCAAATTAAAGTGTGAGAGAAAAAATATTATCAGAGCCTGTAGGCAAGTTGATGAAAGTTATCCAAATGAAAATTATATACACATAGCATAAGAAATAAAACATGCGAGCTGCAAGCACAAATTCAGCTCAAAGGGTATGACGTACAGAGACTTGGTTGCAGTACTGGCAGCAAAATATTCGAAGCTGTAAAATCTTTAGAAAAGAAAGGAACATTAGGATGGAAGGCAGAATAACAATATTGTTTAAAGAGACTCTTACAACAGTGGAAATGAGAGAATCCAATATGGGCAACCAGGTAGTGAAAACACTTTGGGTAGAAATAATGAAATAATAACGAAGGAAGATTCCATGGGAAGTTATCTACATACCTCCAGAGAGTTGTGATTTATGGCGAAATATATAAATACGGAAATCGGGGAAGCTTTGAGCAAAGTCAACATGGTTGTAAGGGGAGATTTTAATTTTCACATAGACTGGAGAGAAGCAGGACACCTCAGTTAGCGAATTTCTGTAATGTATTGAGCACAGCTTTTTGGAACAATACCTGTTAGAGCAAACAAGGCAACAAGCCATACTAGATTTGGTGATGAGCAATGAGCCAGATGTCGTCAATAATGCGACAGTAAGTAAACACCTTGCAAATAGCTATCATAATATGATTGAATTTGACATAAGATTTGAGAGGGATCAGGTGGAGTCCCAATCCAAGGCACTAAATTTAAGTACGGCAAAATTCAATGGAATGGGGAATGTATTAACCGCAGAAAACTGCGCTGGATTGCTAGTGGGTAAATCTGCAGATGAGCAATGGGAAGCATTCAAAAAATTATTGATACTGTGCAGAACAAGTAAATATCTCTCAAATACAAAGGCTCCAATCGTGCAGTTAAACAACCATGGTGGACACAGTCCACAGGTTAGAAAGTCTATCAAGCTCAACGGAGAAGCTTACTCGAATGCAAAAGATAGTGGAATGCAGATGCGTGGGAGGAATACAAAAGGCAACAAAACGAGAGGAAGAAGGTAATAAAAGAAGCAAAAAGGGAGTATGAACAAAACCTTGCAAGGGACATCAAAACCAATAACAAGAGCTTTTATAAATACATCAAGAGGAAGAGAATGGTAAAGGCGAATGTGGGTCCATTAAAGACAGATAGAGGTGAGACGATAATAGAAAATAAAGATATGGCTGACTTGATAAATAAGTAATTTGCTACAGTTTTTACAGTAGAATATGAGGACGATACAAAGCGTACATGGGAACCTGAAAATAGGTGAAAATACGTATTTATTAAACTGAATATCATTAAAAAGGTGAGGGAGAAAATTATGACTCTCAAAATAGGCAAATTTCCAGGAACTAACAGCTTCCATCCCACGGTATTAAAGGAGATAGGACAGGAAATTGCAGATGCATTGGTCATGATGGGCACTGTGCCGTTAGATTGGACTATTGCCAAAGTTACCCCTTTAGTTAAGAAGGGAGGGAGGCAGAAACCAGAAAATTACAAACCTGTCAGATTCACGTCAGTTGTAAGTAAATTACCAGAATCCTTCATCAGGGACAGAGTGACTGAACAGTTGGAGAGGTATCAGCTTATCAAAGGGAGTCAGCGCGGGTTGGTAAAAGTTAGGTCGTGCCGATCTAACCTGGTTGAGTTTTTTGAGGAAGTCACAAAAATGGTCGATGAGGGAGTGTCTATGGATGTCGTTTACATGGAGTTTCAGAAGGCACCTGATAAGGTTCCACACAAAAGATTGTTGGAAAAAGGAGAAGCGTGCGGATCGGAGGTAACCTTGTGATGTGGTTTCACCATTGGCTGTGAGGCAGAAAACTAAGGATAAGGGAACGTTCTCTGTTTGGGGGGACGTGACAAGCGGTGACCCCAGGGGTCTGTTCTGGGACCTCAGCGTTTTGCCATATACATATAAATGACTTGGATAAAGAAATATAAAGTTTTATATCCAAGTTTGTGGATCACACTCAGATGAGAGGCTGAGCAAGTAGTGAAGGTGGAACTAGGAAGGTACAGAGTGACTTAGAGAGACTAAGTGAGTGGGCAAAGCTGTGGGAGATGGAGTTCAATGTAGAGAAGTGCGAGGTTATCCATTATTGATCGAAAAAAATAGGATAGATTACTTTCTTGGCGCGGAGAAAGTAAGAGCTGTGAATGAGCAAAACTGTTTGGGTATCTAAACCCACAATTTATAAAAAAAATTGTTCCCAAGTGCAAAACCTATCAAAAAGGCAAATGATATGTCTCTGGAGGCCTGGAATACAAAGGGGAAGAAATGATGCTTCAGCTGTACACAGCGTTAGTCAGACCCCACCTGGAGACTGCGTTCAGGTTTGAGCATCACAGCGCAGGAAAAATGTATTGGCCTTGGAGCGGGTGCAGCGCAGATTCACCAGAATACGACCAGACCAAAAAGGATGAAGTTACGACGAAAGGCTGCGGAAACTTGGGTTGTGTACTCTCGAGCTTAGAAGATTGAGGGTCAATTAATAGAGGTTTTTAGGATGATAAAGTGTTTGATAGGATAGATACAGAAAACCTATTTCCTTTGTTGGGGAACTGCAAAACGAGGCATAGTCTTAAAATTAGAAGCAGAGCATTTAAGAGTGAAATTGGAAAGCATGTTTTCACTCACAGGGTGAGAGAAATCTGGAACTCTCTCCCCAATAAGGTCTTGGATGATGGATCCATCCACACCTTCAAGAACGAGATTGATAGCTATTTGGTAGGTCGGTGTGTGAGGAGAGGGGGAGAACGTGGTAAATTGGATTTGAAAATCTACTAAAAATATAGATCAGTCGTGATCTAATGAAATGGCAGAACAGACTCGACGGACTGAATTGCCGACTTCGGTTCTTATGTTCCTGAATGTGTGTGTGTGTGTGTGTGTGTGTCTCTCGGGTCTGGTTGTGTGTGTGTGTGTGTCTCTCGGGGCTGGTTGTGTGTGTGTGTGTGTGTGTGTGTGTGTCTCTCGGGGCTGGTTGTGTGTGTGTGTGTGTCTCGGGGCTGTGTGTGTTTGTGTGTGTCTCGGGGCTGGTTGTGTGTGTGTGTGTGTGTGTTCTCTCGGGGTGGTTGTGTGTGTGTGTGTGGTGTCTCTCGGGGCTGGTTGTGTGTGTGTGTGTGTGTGTCTCGGGGCTGGTTGTGTGTGTGTGTGTGTGTGTGTCTCTCGGGGCTGGTTGTGTGTGTGTGTGTGTGTGTGTGTCTCTCGGGGCTGGTTGTGTGTGTGTGTGTGTGTGTGTGTGTGTCTCTCGGGGCTGTGTGTGTGTGTGTGTGTGTCTTTTTTTTTTTTGTGTGTGTGTGTGTGTGTGTGTCTCTCAGGGCTGGTTGTGTGTGTGTGTGTATGTGTCTCTCGGGGCTGGTTGTGTGTGTGTGTGTGTGTCTCTCGGGGCTGGTTGTGTGTGTGTGTGTGTGTCTCTCGGGGCTGGTTGTGTGTGTGTGTGTGTGTGTGTCTCTCGGGTCTGGTTGTGTGTGTGTGTGTCTCTCGGGGCTGGTTGTGTGTGTGTGTGTGTGTCTCTCGGGGCTGGTTGTGTGTGTGTGTGTGTCTCGGGGCTGGTTGTGTGTGTGTGTGTGTGTGTGTGTCTCGGGGCTGGTTGTGTGTGTGTGTGTGTGTCTCGGGGCTGGTTGTGTGTGTGTGTGTGTCTCGGGGCTGGTTGTGTGTGTGTGTGTGTGTGTGTCTCGGGGCTGGTTGTGTGTGTGGTGTGTGTGTTGGTGGTGTGGGTGGTTGTGTGTGTGTGTGTGTGTGTGTGTGTCTCTCGGGGCTGGTTGTGTGTGTGTGTGTGTGTGTGTCTCGGGGCTGGTTGTGGTTGTGTGTGTGTGTGATTTAGGGGTAAATCAATGTGTTTGTCTGTCTGTGCGTCTGCGCTGTCACTGTGTATGTGTGTCTTTCTGTCACTTTGTGTGGCTCTCGCTTCTTGTCTACTACGTATCTTTTTATTTCTTTCTATGGGTAATAATCCCTTTTAAGCAACTATTTTAAAATAATCATTTGGTCAATTTACCGACGACTATGTGTGGGGTACTGCTGTGTGCAATTGGCTGGGGGAGCTCGGAACAAAAAATATACATTGAAGCCACTTTATCAAATGGAAGGATTATTATTTTGTTTTTGTTTTTGCTGTTTGTGTTCGTGTCTCTGTATCCGTGTCACTCTTTATCGCTATGTCTGCTATCGTGTGCCTTTCTGCTTCTCTTGCTCCCTCTGCATATCTGTGTGTGCATAACAATGTATGGGTGTGTCTGTATTTAATAATAATAATAATCCTCGCATTTGATATAGCGCTTTTCACTTCGGGAGGAAGTCCCAAAGCGCTTCACAGAACACAGTGTAAAGTGAATTGACTGTATATTTTTGGGCGTACGCGGCGGCCGATTGCGCACAGCAATGTCCCACAAACAGTCGTAGATTGAAAATGACCAATTTATTATTGTTTTTGGTTTTGGAGGATTATTATTAGGCTCTGTGTGGAGTAAGGAAACTTGGCGGAGGTTTGGCCCTCTGCCTGGAATTGAATCACTTGCAAAGCGAGTGCTCTAACCACTGAGCTACAGGACTCCTATTGGTCACTGTGTGTGTGTGTGTAAAATATACTGTGAAGCTACTCAATTTAATGGAAGCATTATTATTATTATGATTTTATTCTTTGTGTTCGTGTCTCTGAATCTCTGTCACTGTGTACCGCTGTGTCTTCTGTCGTTCACCTTTCTGCATCTCTTGCTCACACTTTGTCTCTGTGTGTGTATGACAATGTATGAGTGTGTCCGTGTTTTTCAGTGTGTGTGTGCGTGTGTGCCCTCCGTTTTCATGTTTGTCTCTCTGTTTCTCTCGCTCTTTCTTTTTCACTTTTGTCTGTGTCTTCTTGTGTGTGTCACTGTGTATTCCTCTCCGTGTCTGCGTTTGTCGTTGTGTCTGTATGTGTATAATGTGTCAGCTATTAGCTGTAGAAAAGTCGGTCTTTCTCTTTCTAACCTTTAGAACTGCCATCTGCCCGGTAACTTGTGACGAGTTTCCATTCACTTTAAAAGGTTATATGTCTATCTGTGCCTCCGCGTGTCTCACCGTGTGTTTTTTTGTCTGTGAGTTTGTGGGTGTGCACCTCTCTACGCCTCTGTCTCTGACACTGCGAGTGTGCATCATTGTGTCTCCATTTGTGTGTCTGTATATGTGTGTGTTTGTGTCTCTGTCTCTCTGTATCACTCTGTGTGTGTGTGTGTGTGTGTGTGTGTGTGTCTATCTGTTTCTGTATTAGTGTCAATGTCTGTGTGTGTTTCTGTGTTTGTCTCTGTACTTCTGTCTCTATGCGATAACGTTTGTTTCTCTGTGTTTGAGTTTTTGTGTCTGACACATGTTGATGTGACACAGGTCCACAGAAACACAGAGGAAACAAGAGAGAAAGAAAGGCACAAATAGAGGCAGCAGAGACAGGGTTTTATATTGAAGATTCTGAAAGAATCAATAAAGTAGGACATGGCAAACTGTTTTATTCTGTACTTAACTGTAGAGGAAGACACGGCCTTCTACAGAAACGGGGAAAATTCAGACATCTGTGGAAAACCTATTTCAGTGAGAGAGCAGAAAACGTATTGGACACGTTCTCAAGGGAGACAGCGGAAGCAGAAAGTGTAATTGATTTCAAGACAAAAAATAGGTAGATTTCTGCTAGGCATTGATATAACAATAACATAATAATAATATCGTGATAGTGCTTGCATTTGCCTCATCGATTTTCAATTCTTATCGTTGTTCCAAAGCGCTTCACAGAATAGACTTGAAAGTGAATTAACTGTATATTTGTGGGGGAACTGCATCAGCCAATTGCACAAAGCAGTGTCCCACAAACAGTTGTGGATTGAAAATGACCAATTTATAATTTTTTCCTTTTGGAGGGATAAGCAGCGCAGATGTACGAGGGTAGTAGCAGGGATGAAGAGGATGAGTTACGAGGATAGGATGACAAATATGGTCCTATATTCTCCAGAATATAGAAGAATTAGCGGGGATCTTATAGAAACCTATAAGATCATCAAAGGGCAATGATAGAGTAGATAGTGGGAGATTGTTTCCCCTGTTTGGAGAAACCAAACACCAGGGGTCACAGACTGAAAATCAGAGGCAGCCCTTTCGCACTGAGTTGAGGAAGAACTTCTTCACTCAAAGGGCAGTGAATGTATGGAACTCACTACCCCAAAGCGCTGTTGACGTTCAGTTCTTGAGCATATTCAAGACTAAGATAGATATGTTTCTTATTGCAAAAGGGATTAAGGGAAATTGGGAAAAGGTAGGGTTAGGTTATTAGCTGGAGATAAATTAGAAGATCATCCACGATTGAATGGCGGGGCAGCATCGAAGGGCCGAATGGCCTACTCCTGCTCATACATGTTATGCTTTAAAAATAATCATTGCATTTGATATAGCGATTTTCACGTCTTCGAGACGTCTCAATGCCCTTCCCAAAATATACTGTAACGTGAACTGACTATATTTGTGGACGAAACATGGCAGCCGTTGTGTACATCGCCTTCCCAGAAACAGTTATGGAAAAAGCGATCACATTGACAGGTTTCCCCATGTGTGATTTATGCACAAAAACATTGCTGGGAAATCAAGGGGAATTTTCTCTGATGTTAAAGTATGTATTTAAATGAGTGCAATAAACAATGGACTTGCCTGATATCCTTAAATCAACTTGAACATAGTTTCAGTTTCGGCTGCCTCAAACTATACAGTCAACTCACTTTAAAATATGTTCTGTGAAGCGCTTTGAATGTCTCAAAAGACAAGAGAAGCTGCGATGTCAAAACAAGGAGTCCTGCAGCTCAATGGTTCGAGCACTCGATTTGCAAGTGAGCCACATGTGTTCGATTCCCGCCAGGTCATGTTTCCTTGCTCCACAAGCCTGATCATAATCCCTCAAGAAAACAAAATAATACATTGGTCACTTCAGTATACGACAGTTTGTGGGACGCTGCTGCGCACAACTCGCTGCCACGTTTTACCCACAAACATAGAGTCAATTCACTTTACAGTATATGCTGTGAAGCACTTTGAGACTTCTTGAAGACGTGAAAAGCGCTGTATCAAAATTCAAGCATTATTATTGTTATAATTATGGTTTAAATTATTAGAGGTTTGAAGTTAAAAGGGGAATTCCGCAATAACACATTGATTTTTTTTCAAACTGCTACGAAACCTCTCTAGGATGTGGCTGTTGGCAACCATCCAGCCAGTAAGAACTGAGAGTAGAATTGTTTTTTAGGATATGTTGGGGGTGGGTTGGATCAGCCGGGAGTCTATTACATGTGGAAACCCATCACCATCCTTATGGGTATCCAAACTAAACTAAGATTTCCAAAGCGTGAGATGGAACCCACAACCTTGTAACTCAGAGGCCAGAGGGCGAGAGGTTGAGCAACAAGTTCATACCAGTTTAATCCAATAAACTGACTTTCTCTTTCATTTTGCGCTCATAAGGGTATTTTTGATGAGAAATCCCCGGTTTCAAGCCGAGTATTATCTTCGCTATAAAACGAAGCTCATTGGCAGCCTGTAACACAAGGAGAAAGAGAGGGCGAGAGAAATAGACAGAAGAATGACGGCACTGCAGCGCATAGTCGAATATGATCTGGTAAGAATTTAACATGTGCAAGAATTAATGCTGAAATAAGTAAGAATTTTTAACTGGACAATACAATAACAATCATCTCACATTTGACCCTTCGCTTCCCGTCCCTTTGATGACATTTCAAAGTGAATTGCAGAATGTCACTGTACAGTGTGGTGACTGTGTGTTTAGCCTGGCAGCGCCTGTTTGCTCACAGTGACGGCTCCATCAACAACAGTCCAGTGAGCAGCTTTTTCTGTCAAACAGGTCAACAGAAGTGTGTGAGTTTGAGAGAGAGAGAGGAAAAGAGAGAGCGTGAATATATTATAAAGTGTAGTGAATATGTTTTACGGGAGAGAGACAGAGAAAGAGAGAGAGAGAGATGGGAGGCGAGAGAGAGATTGAGAGGGGACGAGAGGGGGTTAGAAAGAGAGAGAGAGAGAGAGAGAGAGAGAAAGACTGAGATAGAGAGAGAGAGAGAGAGAGAGACCGAGGGAGAGTGGTAGAGAGTCAGAGTGTGACTGAGTTTGAGAGAGGCTGCAAGAGAAAATTATGATCCCAGAGAGAGCGAGAGAAAATGTGCACGCGATTAAGAGAAAGACAGATACAGGGAGCGGTTGAGGTGAGAGCGACTGCGAGAGAAAGAGAAACTAAGATTTTGAGAGAGAGAAACGCACAGAGAGAAGGAAACTGGGGGAGAGACATTTTGAGAAGGAAAAACTAAGATTTTGAAAGAGAAAAAACTGAATGGTAACATGGCGTAAATCTCAACGAGAAACTAAGAGATTTTGAGAGTCATAGACGTACGGAAAGAGAATGAGAGAAAAACGGCATTTTCCCGAAGTTAGCGGAGTGGGAGAAGTTGAACATGAACCCCATCTAAGTTTGTTTTTTAGCTCAGTGGTTATATGACTTGTCTCGCAAGCAAGACTCCTTGGATCGATTCCCAGCAGTGTGAAACCTTGAGCAAGTTTCCTTACTCCACACGCCTAACAATAATCCGTAAATAAAATTAAAACAAAGATATTTGGTCGCACAATGCACAACTGTTTGTACGACACTGCTTTGTGCAATTGGATGCCGCGTTCTCCCACGAATTATGCATTCAATTCACTCTACGGTACATTTTGTTAAGCGTTTTCAGACGTCTGGACGAAAACAATTAGCAGATACCAGTTCAGTGAGCTGATTTATTTGTCAGCCAGGTCACCAGAAACGTGCCAGACTGAGAGACAGAGAGAGAGGGGGGGGGGGGGTGAACATATTATAAAAGTGTAGTGACTGTGTTTTGCGGGAGAGACAGAGAAAGAGACTGAGATGGGGCGAGAGAGAAAGGTAGAGAGAGAGAGAAAATGTGCGGGAGACTGAGAGAGTGACACCGGGAGAGAGTGACAGAGACTCAGAATGTATCAGAAAATGAGAGACTGCGAGAGCGAATTATGATCTCAGAGAGAGCGAGAGAAAATGTGAAAGAGATTAAGAGAGAGACAGATACAGGGAGCGATTGAGGTGAGAGAGATTGCGAGAGAGAAAGAGAAACTAAGATTTTGAGCGAGAGAGAGAGAGAGAGAGACACACAGAGAGAAAGAAACTGGGAAAGAGACAGTTTGAGAGAGAGAAACTAAGAGATTTCGAGAGAGAGAAGAAATAGAGAAAGAGTACCACAGCGAAAAACACAGGGAGAAAGAGAGAGAAACTAAGAGATGTTGAGAGTGATAGAGGTACTAAAAGAGGAGAGAGCAATTGCATTTTCCTGAAGTTAGTGGAGTGGAAGATGCTTAGCATGAAGCCCATGTTATTTTTATTTATTCAGTCCAGGTTAGCTCAGTGGTTAGATCATTTGCCTCGCAATTAAGAGACCTTGAGTCGATACCCAGTAGGGTGAAACCTTGGGCAAGTTTCCTTACTCCACACACCTAATCATAATCCCTCAAGAAAATCAGAACAATAATAATTGATCACTCAATGCATAACTGTTGGTAGGACACTGTTGTATTCAAATGATTGCCGCGTTTAGTCCACAAAACATACAGTCAATTCTCTACAGTACATTAACAACAAGAAAGATTCCATTTATAGAGCGCCTTTCCCGTCGGGAGGACGTCCCAAGGCGCTGAACAGTTGGGTCAGGATACGAGCATTGGGGGGAAATGGTCAGGGTGAGGGGGGGGAAGGGAGGGAGTGAGGAGGGTGGAGATGGTCAGGGTGAGGGGAGAGGAGGGAGGGAGTGAGGAGGGGGGAGATGGTCAGGGTGAGGGGAGAGGAGGGAGGGAGTGAGGAGGGGGGAGATGGTCAGGGTGAGGGGAGAGGAGGGAGGGAGTGAGGAGGGGGGGAAATGTTCAGGGTGAGGGGAGTGAAGGGACGAAGCGAGGAGGGGGTAGAGAGTCGAGAGCGGAGCTGAAGGCTGAAGGTCAAAGAGAAAGGTCTTGAGACCGGCCTTGAAGGAGGGAAGGGAGGAAGCGGCGAAGGCACCGGGGGATGGAGTTCCAGAGCCTCGGGGCTGAGAGGCTGAAGGCCACCGACCGTAGGGCGGTTGGGGCGGGGGATGTGGAGCAGACCAGAGCCAGAGGAACGGAGGGTACGGGCAGGTAAGTAGGGGGATAGTAGGTTGGAGAGGTAGGAGGGAGCGAGGCCGTGAATGGCCTTGTAGGTGAGGATGAGGATATTGAATTCGATCCTCTGGGGGATGGGGAGCCAGTGGAGGCGAGCGAGGGTGAGAGTGATGTGGTCGCGAAGGCTGGTGCGGGACAGTACATGAGCTGCAGAGTTCTGAAAGAAGGTAATTTGTTTGAATCGCCCCAGTACACACCTGGGCTCGGAAGCTGCGTCGTCCAAGCTGTCCAGCGCTGGTGCCAGAGACAGAGACATTCTGAGAAACGCTTTTAGACGTCTAAAAGACGAGAGCAGTGTTACAAATGCAGTGATTACAATTACAACGTTTGCCCTGAGCAGGGCAAGGACGAGGTGTCAAACAATTTTAACTTTGTTGAGAATGAGAAACTCTCTGTCTCTGGCAGCAGCGCTGGACAGCTTAGACAACGCGGCTTCCGAGCCCAGGTGTGTACTTGGGCGATTTAAACAAACTACCTTCTTACTGGGGAGAAACTGAGCCAGGCTGACACACACTCACTGAGCCAGACTGACACACACTCACTGAGCCAGGCTGACACACACTCACTGAGCCAGGCTGACACACAGTCACTGAGCCAGCTGACACACAGCCACTGAGCCAGGCTGACACACTGTCACTGATCCAGGCTGACACACACTCACTGAGTCAGGCTGACACACAGACACTGAGCCAGACTGACATCCAGTCAATGAGCCAGACTGACACACACTCACTGAGCCAGACTGACATCCAGTCACTGAGCCAGGCTGACACACAGTCACTGAGCCAGGCTGACACACAGTCACTGAGCCAGACTGACACACACTCACTGAGCCAGACTGACACACACTCACTGAGCCAGGCTGACACACAGGCACTGAGCCAGGCTGACACAAGTCTTACTGAAGTTATGAATAATATTTGATGTATTGCGTGTATATGCGTGTTAAGAATCCATGTTTATCGAGCTGTTTTCTTGCCCAGCGTCAGGAGGTGGGAGTGGCCCACACGAGGCAACCTGAAACCCCAAAGCCTCAGGAGGCGGTGAAGTTGACGGCCGTTCACCTCCACCCTGGGGTGTCTGACCCGCTGGCCTCCAGCGCCCGCAAATCTCTCCCTGACATCACTGTCTGTGTGCAGACCTGCGAAGGGAAGCAGAGGGCTCTGCAGCTTCCAATGCATCTGAGAGTCTACGAGCTGAAGAAGGCCATATCCAGGGAAATGGGAATCCCGGTACAATCCCAGATCCTCTACTGGAAATCTTCGGAGCTGAAGAAAATGAAGAAGCTTTGCGACATTACCATGAAGGATAGCATTTGCGTCACTGTGGTGCAAAAGTGCCTCGGAGGCTGATGTGTGGAGACTGAATCTCTCACTTCCCTATCCTGTTTGTGCTCGCTTTCCGCACACTGGAGATTTCTCCTCTAACCCCATTCCCCGGCTCTCTCTGTCTGCACTTGTGCTCGGTACCCCGCACTGGAGCTGTATTCTCTAACCACATTCCCCAGCTCACTGCGTCTCCCTCTCTGTCATGTTTTTGCTAATGATGGCGACAATAAATTGTGTTTGACACTTATGCTGTTGGCAGATTTTCTCGATGCTTGTTATGTGCCGTGATTAACAAGGATTAAATATGTGAAAATAGAAGATATTCGGACTAATTTGATATAATGTGTGTTAGAGAGAGAGTTAGACAGATAGATAGACTGAGCAAGAAGGTGAGAGAGAGAAAGATGCTCGAAAACTAAACAACAATAATATTTATGTAGTGCCCTTCAAGTGGGAAACATCCGAGCGCATGACAGTGGCAAACTCTGGAAACAATTCATAGGAGCGCGAGTTGGGAGGTGACCTAATTTGGGTTGGGAGGTGAACAACAAAACAAACAACAAGAAACTTACGTTTGTTGGGAGCCTTTCACGTGGGGAGGACATTCCAGGGCGCCAGAACGGTCCACACAACTAAACAGGATGTATGTCAATGAGTTTGCAGGATTGATTTACATTCTGGGCCGGGGCTGCGGTTGGCCTTCGACCGTCTTTGCCTTGGATTTGTCCCTGACCCTGACCAATGAGTCTTTAGGCAGCATTTGAGAGTATGGAGGAAAACGGGGGTGGGTGTTGTGGGAAGGTGGTGGGGTGGGGGAGGCAGAAGTAAGGAAGTAGAGAATTCCAAAGTTTCGATTTACAGCGACCAAATGCATGGGAACTAATGCTGGATTCGAGGAGATCAGAGAGAAACAGGAGGCACTGGAAGGCTGAGCGGAGGCTGTGGGCGTCTCATTTGGGGATGTTGGAAGTTATTAGGTCAGTAAAGTAGGGAAGTGCGAGCGCGAAACGTTTGTGGGACGCTGCTGTGCACAATAGGCTGCCGCATTTTGTGGGCCATATGCGGCGGCCAACTGCGCACATCAGTGTCCCACAAGCAGTTGTGGATTGAATTGACCAAATCATTATTTTTTTTTAGAAGGATTACTATCCCCAGATAAGCAATTTGTCAATCGAATAACAGCCAAGCTCCTTGTGATTGCTAAGTAAACCTTGGCGTGTGGAAAAAGGAAACTTGCCCAATATTTCAACCTCCCGGCAATCGAACCAACGTCACTTGCTTGCGAGGCAAGTGCTTTAACCACTTAAATAGAGGACTCAACCTTGGTCATGTTTACTTGCTCCACACGCCTGGTAATATTCTCTCAAGAAAAAATAGTAATAAATTTGTCATTCAATCCACAGCTGTTTGTGGGTCACTGCGCAATCTGCTACCGAGTTTCATCTAAAAAACATGGTTCACTTTACAAGTATTCTGTGAAGCGCGTTGAGACGTCTAGAAAACGTGAAATATGCTATTTCAAGCGCAACAATTATGATTTTTATTATCCGTTGCAATTTAATCTGACATATGTGTTGCTCAAATTGTGGAGGCTGCTTCCATCTTTCAATGCATTCACCAATGTTATTCCAAGGTTATAATCCTTGTATTTGACAAAGCGCTTTTTCACTTCTTCTAGACTACTAAAAGCACTTCCCAGAATATAGTGTAACGTGAAGTGACTGCATGTTTGTGTGCGGCAGCCAATTGCGCACAGCAGTGTCACACAAATAGTTGTGGATGGAATTGACCATTTTTTTTGAAGGATTATAATCAGGCGTGTGGAGTAACCAAACTTTTTCAGGGTTTCAGCATACGGAATCGAACCAATGTCTCACGCTTGCGAGGAAACTGGAGGCAGTGTAGCACACTCATCCATTACCGCATCCTTCTGTAAGCCGTTTAATACACACAGTTACTACACTAGCTTCCTGTGAGCAGTGTGACACACACACCGTCAATACACTACCTTTCTGTGGGCAGTGCAACATACACAGTAAATATACTAACTTTCTGTGGGCAGTCTAACAGACACAGGTAACTACACCAGATATCTGTGGGTAATTAAACACATACAGCCACAACACAAGCCTCCTGTATGCAGTGGAACACACACAGTCACTACAGTAGCCTCCCTTCAGCAGGGTGAAACACAAAGAGTCACTACACTGACCTTTTCGGTAGTGTAACACACGTAGTAACTACACTGGCTTTCTGTGGCAAGTTTAAAACACATAGTCACAACACGAGCCTATTGTGGGCAGTGTGAGACGCACTCTTAACACACTAACCCCCTGTACAGCGCAACACACGCACAGTCAGTACACTTACCTCCTGTGGGCAGCACCCACAGTCGCTACACTAGACGTCTGTTGGCAGTGTAGCAGCTACACACAGTCACTACACAATATTGTTGTGGGCAGTATGTCACACACAGTTAGTACATTGACTTGCTGTGGCCAGTTTAACATACAGTCACTACACTGGCCTCCTGTGGGCAGTATACCGGAGACATATGTCACATTGGCCTCCTGTTGGCATTGAAACACACATAGTCTCTACCCTGACCTCCCTGGGCGGTGGACCAGACACAGTCACTTCACTGGCATCCTGTGGTCAGTGTAGTATGCCCAAACAGTTCGTTAGGCTCCTTTGGGCCGGATACAACACAATTCTCTATACTAGGGCCCTGTTTTTAGTGTAAAGACACACAGTCACTGTAAACAACAACAACAACAACAATATTCCATGTATTGAGCGCCTTTCACGTCGGGAGGACGTCCCAATGCGCTGTACAGTTGGGTCAGGACCCGAGCATGGGGGGAAATGGTTAGGGTGAGGGGAGGGAAGGGAGGGGTCGAGGAGGGGGTAGAGAGTCGAGAGGGGAGCTGAAGGCTGAAGGTCAAACAGAAAGGTCTTGAGACCGGCCTTGAAGGAGGAAAGGGAGGAGGCGGCGAAGGCACTGGGGATAGAGTTCCAGAGCCTCGGGGCTGAGAGGCTGAAGGCCACCGATAGTAGGGCGGTTGGGGCGGGAGATGTGGAGCAGACCGGAGCCAGAGGAACGGAGGGTACGGGCGGGTAGGTAGGGGGATAGTAGGTCGGAGAGGTAGGAGGGAGCGAGGCCGTGAATGGCCGTGTAGGTGAGGGTGAGGATCTTGAATTCGATCGTGCTGCGGGGAATGTAACGCACACACAGTAACTACACCAGTTTATTATTATGTAGTCCTTTAACATATTGGTCACTAGCGAGAGGATCTGGATTTGATTCTCGGAAAGGCAAAACCTTAGGCAAATTCCATTGCTCCACCCACACGACTCTGCTTTATTGCCGAAAGCAGGAACTAGCTTCTTAGTTAATTGGCGTATCGTACTTGAAGGTTAATATTCCCTTCAAATTAACACGTCTCAAAGATGTGATAAGGGGTTAAGTCAAACGCAAAGATCCTGTCCCTGGACGGAGTGAGGCTGCAGGAGATTTGGAGGCTGGAGTCACGTCTGTGTACGAATCCTGGATCCTAGTGAACAGAGAGGCTACAGATGATTTGAGGACTGGACAATGACCAAGTTCCACGTCCTGGATCCTGGAGAGGAGAGTGAGAAAGACTGAGATAGAGAGGGAGAAATAAAGGGAGATAGAGTGAGAGAGAGAGAATGGAAAGAGCGAGCGAGAGGTAGAGAGGGAGAGAGAGAGAAACAGCGAGAGAGAGATCGAGAGAGTGGGAGCGTGACGGCAGAGAGAGAGAGACAGACGAGAGACAGAGCCGAATAATTTTAAAGATTGGAGCGTTTCTGTGTTTACCTGTACACGGAGGTAAGTGAGAGACACAGAGATATTTTGTATTTGCATTTGATGGACAGAATTATCATGTCGACAAAACATCTCAAAGCACTTCACAGAATGTATTGTTAAGTGTAGTCTTGGGGGCAAAATGCGGTACCCAGTTGCACACAGTAATGTCCTCCAACTGTGGTGGACCGAGCAATATAATTTGGGTGATCGTCGGCCTGGAAACCGGGAGAGAGAGACACCGGGAGAGGACATACGTTTTCTTTACCCGACCGGCATTGCAAAAGAAGACCTTTAACACCCGGGACAGACAGATAGCGAGACAGAGATACAGAGACAGGAAGAGAGAGAGAGAGAAAAACAAATTGCACAGATACAGCGTCCCTCACACGGAGTGTCATTCCAGACCACTTGACGGAGGGAGACAGGGAGAGTGTGAGAGAGAGTTTTACATAGAGAGAGAGAGAAAGAGAGAGATTCACAGAGAGAGAGAGAGGACAGACAGACAGACAGACAGATTGTCCCAGTGAGAGAGAGAAAGAGAGAGAAACAAAGAAACAAAAATGCAGAGAGACGGAAAGAATAAGTGAGCGAGAGAAGTACAGGAATGGTGCTCCAACATATCCTGCGAAGGAGTCCAACGTACTCTACGACATGTGGTTTGGAAATCATATTAAATGTTCCAGCAATAGGTCGATTAAAAAANCAGAAAACGGAAACAATCTAAAAAGATCAGAAGTTCTGAAGTGAGAGAAAAGAATTGTAAAAGAAATTTATATTTCTTACCAAAGAGAACCATCCCAGGGTGGGCTTGAACCACCAAACTTTCAGTTAACAGCAGAACGCTGTAACCCACTGCACCACTGAGACTTCTGTCTACACTTTTTTGAAGAAAATTACAGCTTTTAATTGACACAATTAATGTCACGGGCAGGTCCTGAGTTGATAAGTCATCACAACACCAGTAACTGAGTTACTCAAAGGTGATATTTTAATGCCAATGAATGGAAATAGACTGAACACTCTCTGGTGTTGGAATGATTGCTCAACAGGCACCTTGTTCTCCCACAACAGATATTTAAATCAAGTACAAATGGCTTTAAAACTTCACTTGGATCAACACAGCAACAAATTTAGGAACAACGATTTTTAGAGAAGAGTTTAAAATGTAATCAGCAATATATCAAGAGTTACATGACCGCAGATAACCATTAGTTCTTGTGCTCACGCTAAGCTGGAAAGCTTTACAAAGAAATACTGCAAATTGATTTTGTTGGTTGGTTTCGGTGTCTTTCTTTCCAATATATTCCGAAGTATTCATCAGTTGGTCCATTGCTTAATGGGAACATCTTTTACTTTTTCTTGGAAATTCAACGACTTTCTACCTGCTTTATTCCGGATGCATTCAAAGCATTCTTGCATTCAAAGTACTTGCAGGTAGATATTTACATCTTGCCAGTAAGTGGAATTGCTGGAGCTGGAGGAATGAAGCTGAT